CTGACATGTGCAGTCTCCTCAAGGCTGTGTGCAGATAGTATTGTGACAGAGCCCTGTGCACTGACGTCCCGCAGTGTTGCTGACCGATACTCCACAAGCCCTGACTGCAGATGTGTGGATCCTCGTGGAGCAGTGTTTGGACAGCGGCCCACACTAGTGTGCAGGAGCTTCCTGAGTCTCTGATACCGACACATCAGCCCAGCTCAACTGCTGGAGCAGAAACGTCCAGCCCAGAGTCCTGACCTAAACCTGACTGAACATCTGGAGAATCCTCCCCTCAGAGCCCTGACTGAGGAGACTGACACTAGCTAGTCTACAGATGTCCACTGAGACACTAGGGCTGCGTTCCATTCCACTTTTACACATGCACTCACAATCTGCTGTTCCCTTGGGGGATCCCCGTCACCCTGCACAGTGTGTTCCTCTTCATCAAGTGAGCGAGGGAAGATCACATGGAGGATCTGAGGGAAGTGAGCGAGTGAAGAGATTAACAAATTGGACTTGTGTGTGTGTGTGTGTGTGTGTGTGTGTGTGTGTGTGTGTGCTGTGTGTGTGAGAGAGATTGTGTATGAGTGCATATGTGTTGTGTCATCAAGTGTGTTCAAGCGTGTGTGTGTGTGTGTGTGTGTGAGAGAGAGATTGTGTATGTGTGCATATGTGTTGTGTCAGCGAGTGTGTTCAAGTGTGTGTGTGTGTGTGAGTGTGTGTGGAGGAATGAGAGTAATGCTGCTGTTCTGCTCCAGCTCATTGATCAGCACATCAGCCTAATTAGCGGAGAGATCAGAAACTTCCAGAAAACTTCAGAGGACTTTCTCTCTCCTTCAGAATGAAACGCAGTGGAGTGTGTGTGTGTGTGTGCGTGTGTGTGTGCGCGTGTGTGTGTGTGTGTGTGTGTGTGTGTGTGTGCGCGTGTGTGTGTGTGTGTGTGTGTGTGTGTGTGTGTGTGTGTGTGTGTGGCGGTGAGGAAGAGCAGCAGCTCTCGGTCCTCCAGAACTCTCTCTCTCTCTCTCTCGGTCAGTCACTCACCGGCTCTGCTCTGCTCTTCTCTTCACCTCTCCGCGGCTCCACTGGGCGGTTCGTCCGGTAATTCTCTCGGTTATCCCGGGAAATCCTCCGATTCTCGCCCTCCCCGCACACAGACGCGCGCGCACACACACATACATACACACACCCGTCACCGCACTGAACACGCGCATGCGCACTGACGAGGCCGAGAGCATCATCACTGTCACACAAGTGAGTCTTCATCACACACCCGAGCACAGGTGAACGAACACACACACACACACACACACACACACACACACACACACACACACACACACACACACACACACACACACACACACACACACACACACACACACACACACACACACACACACACACACAACTGACCATCATCACTGTCATAAGTGAGTGGACAGGTGAACACACTGACACACACACACATCTCTCACTCACTTTCACACACACACACACACACACCATCATCAGTCACATAAGCGAGTCCTTATCATACACCTGAGCACAGGTGATCAGCCAGCTAAACACACACACACACACACACACACACACACACACACACACACACACACACACACACGGCTGTGCACCAGTCCAATTTGTTAATCTCTTCACTCGCTCACTTCCCTCAGATCCTCCATGTGATCTTCCCTCGCTCACTTGATGAAGAGGAACACACTGCGCAGGGTGACGGGGATCCCCCAAGGGAACAGTGGAAGAGCAGATTGTGAGTGCATGTGTAAAAGTGGAATGGAACGCAGCCCTAGTGTCTCAGTGGACATCTGTAGACTAGCTAGTGTCAGGGCTCTGAGGGGAGGATTCTCCAGATGTTCAGTCAGGTTTAGATCAGGACTCTGGGCTGGACGTTTCTGCTCCAGCAGTTGAGCTGGGCTGATGTGTCGGTATCAGAGACTCAGGAAGCTCCTGCACACTAGTGTGGGCCGCTGTCCAAACACTGCTCCACGAGGATCCACACATCTGCAGTCAGGGCTTGTGGAGTATCGGTCAGCAACACTGCGGGACGTCAGTGCACAGGGCTCTGTCACAATACTATCTGCACACAGCCCTGAGGAGACTGCACATGTCAGACTCTATGGAGGGAGTGACGTCACTGTGAGGGGCGGGGTTGTGGGTGGGGTCGCAGCAGGTCATCAGTGTGTGGAAATGTTGTTCCTGCACTGGTGGGGGCGCTGGAGAACACTTGAGGACAGTGAAGGCTTTAGTGAAGCTGCTGCTTCAGATGATGGTGGACGTCTCAATCCAGCACCCTTACTCAAACAAACAGACGAGAAGCAGAACTGTCCTATAAAACACACGTGTCAAACCCAGCTCCGGGAGGGCCGCAGCTCTGCACAGGTAACTCAATCACCTGTAGGTCTCCATCAGTGTGAGCAGGTGTGTTTAATCAGAGCTGCGGCTCTCCAGGAGCGGAGTCTGACCCTGCGCTGATCTGTGAATGAACACAGCCGGTCCTTCATACACTTCTCCAAGTTTATTTAAAAAATCCTGATGATTCTGAAGCAGACACACAGAAATAATAACAACAATAATAATAATAAGAGTTTAAAAATACAGTCATTAGAAGAGCGCGCAGCTGATCTGAGAACAGACCGAGGCCAGGAGGAGCGGAAGCTACAACACTACACAAACAACAGATCTCACACACACACACACACCGAGGCTAATCCAGAGCAGACGACGACAGAGTAATGCTGTTAATGTGGCATATAAATATTCAAACTTTACAAAATCTAATAAATGCATTTGATAAAACTACAGAAGAAGAAATAAAGAGCAGAGAGAGAGCGTTAAAAGAAAAGAGCGAGCGTCTGTACAGAGGAACACAGCAGACGAGCGGGTACAGAACTGAAAACCAGCCCGCGTCTGTCTGTCTGCGCGTGTGTGTGTGTGTGCATGTGTGTGTGTGTAAGTGTGTGTGGGAATATCAAAGCCTAGAAAAGATCAGTGTCAGTCCTCCGCTGCACACACACACTCGTCCAGAGAAACAGCGCCCCCTGCTGCACACTCTGCCCCCTGCAGCTCACCACTGTAATGGCAGAATCACTGCAGATTCAGTTAAGCCCGCATCAATAGGAGGAAGCACCCCACACACACACACACACACATGCGCACACACACATGCGCACACACACACACATGCGCACACACACA